CCCTAATATCTGCCATACATAGAGTTTAATTATTCAGTAACTTAAGTAAGCTTTTTGTGGGTAACTGGAGGGATTTTGAGGTACAAATCCATACAAGATAGAACATGGAATAGAAACATAGGCTTTCAGGCTTTTGAGCATCTGCTGTATCAGTAGAGAATGAAAAAATACCTGACAATAGAAAACTTGCCCCTTCTAGCTCATTGCAAAGAGGTAAGCTTTCATTATTTATGGAAACTCTTTTCTTCTTTAGCATTCATATAAAGCTTGTTGGCACCACTTTTTACCTTGATGACTAATGTGATTTTTTTTCCTTTGTCCATCTCCTTGTCCTGTTGGTTGTCTAATAGGAAGCACACAATAAAAACTAATTGTTCATGTTACACTTAAATTATAAACTGTTTGGGACAGACTGTATTAATTCTGTTTTGTGTAGTGTCTAGCTCAGTAGAGTCCTGGCCCACTAAAGTTCTTTGATGCTGTAGCAAGATGGGTAATAGGGGAGAGGTGACCAGGATAACCCAGTGAATCCTGGCTTTATTTCACTTTTGGGTAAGATTAGATTGCCTTGATCCCATTTCCAAACCTGTGACTAGTTTGCTGTGACTACAATCAAAATACTTCTTTTCCTGCTGCTTAAGAATTCCTCAGGAGATATGTCAAGCTTTATAAATGCTTACTAAATTATTCTATGCCTTCTGGACAGGAGGTGGAACACTGGGAAAAACAGTTTTTGTTATTCTATCTGAAGCAATTCATGAGGTATTTTCCTCAAATTAAGTGTACGTGTTTCCTGACCTCCTCCTTCCCAGACACTTTTAATTTTGAAGCCTTTTATGAAATGCAAAATATTATTCTCTGCTTCACTTTTCTTTTGTCTATTTTTGTTTGCTCTCTAAGGTCCAGACATTTGGAGAAAGGATTGTCCTCTTTGTTCTGAACTACATTATTTTTGGAATGCTAGAAGGGAGTTCAGCTAATGATGCATTCTTTCTACCTCACTCTGCCACTGAATGTGCCAAGATACTCTGGAGAGATGGCGAGGCTGTTGCCTTTTACTCAGTCAAGATGAAGGGTAAGGTCATTTTAGAGACACATTTCCATTGGTTCCTAATAGCTAGAAATGTAATCCTTTTGTTTATCTTTCAGTATAAATAATCCCTGCTCTCATTTACATTTTTATATCAAATCTCTCTCAGAATGAATCTGGGGAACGAATCTTCCCCAAATTTGGAAGCCACCCATATTACTTTCATTTAAACACGATGGCTCCAAACTCAGTTCTCAGTTACACGGAGTGATCTGAGGTGCTGGCTTATTCCAACAGAATATGCTTTAATGCAGCCAAGTAGAAGGTCGTACATCTAGGAACAAAGAATGCAGGGCCTACCCACAGGATGGAGGACTGCATCCTGGAAGGAATGATATCCAAAAAAAAAAAGGAGAACAGTTCACAGTGGCAAACAGTGTATCAGGAGCAGCTGGTGGCGAGACGTGGCAGGATAAGCAGCAGTGGCTGGGTTGTGTAGAGGAAGTTGCATGCACTAGATCAGTCCTGGAATCCTCTGTCCAGTTTAAAGGATGATGATGAATTGATTTCATCATTAATTGATTAGCTAGCATAGGAAAGAAACAAAGTTAATTTGGTCCTTTAGGAATACTTGCACCAGTATAAGCTTTAGAGAAGGTCTTGTATCAAATAGAGAGTTTGTATTTATGCAGGTACCTTGCTATTAATCAGTCTAGAGGGGAAAAGGCTTCATTAGAATAAGTCCAGGTATGCAGTTGAGTACATACCCCCATGTGGGAGCTGGTTACCAGGCTGTGTCTTGTGGGTGTCATTTTGATACCAGCAGCTTAAAGAGAAGTTAGTATCTTTGGAGGTAAATGTCTTGTTCAAGTCAGACTTCAGTAACCATCTGTCCAAAAGGGGAGAATAAGAAACAGCTGGAGACCTGTAAAGATATGGATTGCTTTGGATTCCAGAGGACAGTCTGAAGGTGGCTTCACTGATGGAGTCTCAAAGGCCAGCAACATTAAAGGAAGTTCTGCTCTTCTTCTGCCTTAGGATGTGCAAAATCCTTACTCACACTGAGGTGTAGCTTGTACCCCACTGTGCTGGTATGGTGTTGCTGTAATATCAAATCTCAGCCTATGATAACAGACCTTGTATAGACCTCTGAATATGCTGATGAACTGGTTTGCAACTGGCAAACACTTTGGTTACCCTACTACATTTTCATTTAACTCCATAAACATTTCTGAGCAAAGCTTTTGGAAAGAAACACTTCTATGGGCTGTAATGATTCATGCTTCAGTAAAATAAATTTGCACAGTAGTCTGTTATGGGTGGAGTATTAGCCAAGTTGAAATGGTTTCTGAGTAAGTTGAGAGTCACATTTTGGTTTCAAACCAGGTCCACATAAAATACAAATTCTTCAAGTCCAGCTCTGTCAGCATCTGTCTCTTGTTGCCAGTGGTTTTCTTCTCTGGGCAGCTATATTTGTTAGTTTTTGGACTGTGTCACAAATTACTGCAGTCTTTTGCCAGAGCCTTTTCGGGAAGCTTGAAACGGATTGTTTTTGCCCCTTTTTGCTATTTGCTGTATGCATTTAGAAAATAATTCCTCTTTCTGAAGTTTTGTGATTTCAGTTTTATACCAGCCATCTTCTGGCTGATCCTATTTGCTCTACTTTCTGTAAGAGCCATGGATTTATTAGACTCAAAACAGGATAAGATAAATATCTTCTCGTAGAAGTTGTATTTCACATAGTTGGTTTAGATATTTTTTTTAACTTTTCTTTTTTTTTCTTTTATCATAATGTAAGTTCTTTTACTGACCTGGTCAAGGCAGCTTTAAGTACAGGACTTAATATTGTGCTGGACCTCTGTTACAGCTTCTGGTCCTAGGAAGAAATTATTTTCATCTTGCCACCATGTGATTCTGATTCCCTTTATGTCCATGCTCTGCAATTACCTGGCCATTCTTTACAGTTTTATCTTCTTCACTAGGTAATTGAGAGTCTCATGCTGATGTTGTATCCAACTCTATTTCTCATCTGTGAATTTTCTATTATCTACAGTATCACAAAAAAACATGCTTCAGTGGAGCCAAATTAGCCAGAACAGATCTGTGGACCATGGCTATTTCAAACATAAGTCATCTGGGTGAATCATAGGAACAGTGACCAAGGAGGAGAGAGTCTGTTCTATCTTTACTACAGATTTAGTGTCCCGTTATGCAAACTTGCTTTTCGGGGGACTTCAGTGATTCCAATTAACTACCTTGGCAATCCTGTGAAGTCATTTCCATTTGCCAGTTCCTAGGTGGCCGGTACAAAGTGAGCTTGGTAATTTTGGTCCGGTTCCACACCTCCATCCATCTTCTGAACATCTTTAACTGGATTTTTTTCATAGTCCAGTAAAGAGGGACAGATGGTCTTGAGCACCCGCCTCGCTCAGAAGCGCAGTAACTGCAAGTCAAGGTCCTGAGACAATTTGGCAGCCACTGGCGGTGGCCATCCTGCACCTGTTGTGCAGATAAACAGAAGACTGATTCTTCAAGGCTATCACTTTTCGTGAGCATTAGACACCTTTATTAAAACAAAATTTATTCATGACTACACAGATCATCAACCTAGCCTCTCTGGTATGTGTCTATTCCTGTCCAATGACAGGCATGCAGCATTTACCACTGGGGATACTAAAGATTGATGAGACGTACTAAGCCACTAATGAGGCTGATAAGACACTTTGTCACGTGCCAAGATAAATGCCTCCAATTTTATCTATGTCAGCAGCTTCCATATTAGACAGCTGAGGAGTTAGACCTCACTGAGTGTAGCTACTTAAAGGTACAACTGGAGAGGAGAGTTCCCTGTCCCTTTCTTTGCAGACAGCAGCCTGGAAATGAAATATTTTGCAGGGAGCCTTCCTATAGATACTTGTGGTTCGAGGTGTGATTTATATTCTTTTAAGTATTTTTTTCAGATTTTTTTTTTTTCCCTTGGCATGCTCCAAGTCTGTGTGAAAACCTCAAAAAGAATGTGCTTTGTGTAGTGATGTAGGATTAATGACCACGGCTACCGACACTGTTTTTGGTACAATGAGACCATGTAATTCCCTGGAAGTTTTTCTTTTTTATTTACTGAGGACTAGTCGTTACTGAAAATGAACTTTTAGCACCTTCACATAAATGTCAGGAGGATGTAGAAGGATTCATAATGCAAATAAATCAGTAAGGAAGTTGGAGGATGGTGTGAGCCAGGAGTGTCTTAGGCCCTTTAAGAATAGAACAAAACCAACCCCCTGTTTTATATACAGCCTTCTTGTCCAACTGCTTCTGTTCTATTACTCTTTCTGTAACCCACAGAAGCTGCCCAAGCTGTCTGGAGTACAAAAAGCAAAGGAGTCAGGTTGTCAAAGCTCATCCCTTCCCAGGCTTGCTGTGTCCCTTTTGTCAAACCTCAGTAGTAAAAGTGTGGAGAATGATGGTGTTCACTCTGATGTGAGTCAAATCAGCCTTAACAAAATTGGCTCTTCTGAGAGGGCTGTAAAACATGCACTTGAACCAGGAGTAAACACGTTGTTGGCTTCTCATTCATTCTTTAGAGATGCTCCACAAATCAGTTTGGGAACGCCTGACTATGGAAACTTAAAGCTGATATAAAGTAGGCAGCAAAGCAGCCCTGGCCCATTCTCAGCTTTTGGTTACCCCAGAACCTTGGAGATGGTCTTTAGAAGTGATTAGCCAAAGAGAAATCCATTTCATATCTTTCTGCATAGAAGCTTTCACAAATTTCTTTTAACTCTTTGGTGGCCCAGGTGAAAAAGGGCCTGTGATCTGTTTCTCTAGAAGTAGATCCCTAAGAAGATAATAGGATTTTATTTTTCACTGATTACATACCTTTCTTTCAGAAAAATAAAAAAAAATTAAATCGGTATTGAAGTTAACCTGACAGAAAATTAGCTGAAATCTTGTTGGATAATTGCTTTTGTCTCCTTCTGTTTTCTAGCAATAACATTTTTAATGTGCATTTCTGAGGCAGACTGAAGATTCTGGCTGTAATAACAATTAAATGACTACATACCAGTCAAGACATGAATTAATTTAATTTTATTGAAGCCAGAACCTTTGTTCCTCTCTTCACATACAAACTCACACAATGGGCTGACCTTGGGTTCTATTCAGCAGAAATATTCCCCACCCTTTACACAAGCACTCAGCCTGCTTAAGGCCTGTCCAAACGT